ATAAAAATAAAGTCTTTTATCGTTTTATAATTTAATTGAAGTTACGATCTGTCTCTTAGGAAAGTTCAATGCGAAATGATTTCTCGCCGTGATTTGTATTTGTATATATATGTATATATATATGTAGGTCGTATCGCGTCGCGTCGCGTCGTATCGTGTCGCGTCGTGTCGTGTCGTGTCGCGTCGTATACTTTCGTACGTCATTTTTAAAAAGCAAAACTTCACTAAAAATTCACTAAAAAAAAAAAAAAAAAATCCTTTGACAAATTAGAAATTATATTAATAAATAATAAAAGAGTATTATAGAGAAAATTTGTATACAGTAAACTAATATAATTTTAAATATTTATTAATATTTAAATCTAAAATATTTTTCTATTCATTACTAAACACGTATGCTATATTTCTTTTTATATTATTAAGAATCAATTCATTCAAAACTGATATTATATACATAAAATTATTGAAGATTATTACGGATGTTCTTAAAAATTGATCTTGCATGAATTATCTTGTACGAAATATTACTATTTAGTACTGATATAAATTCAAGCACATATAGATCAACAAAATTTACAAAACGATTGATTCCATCGCGAACAAATTCGAACAAACAAATAAAATAAGCTTTGCAAGCTAGTTATTGGACGATTAACAAAATTAATCGGGCCACTTTCGATTCTGAAAATTATCGCGCTAATATTTATAACCAACGTTTGACATGTGAGTACATGATCAGGCAATCGTATGTAATTTAAAGTGTTAAAGATAAATTTGGTCGCAGCTTATAGATATGTCGTCTTGTATTGTGGCTTCTAGATCGTAACACGTCGTCTGTAATATGGCACATACATAAATTCGACCGTACTTGAACCCTTCGGCTGCAAGTGTTACGAGTAGCCCGTGCTACTTGCCCATGAACACACGTGTCGTAAGTTCTCCTGTGTCTTAAGTGGACCAAGTCGACCCATTATCTCAGTTTATGTCACCGTCTTTTATGGTTCAATATAGAAACTCCCTGTAGGATATAATCGAAACCATAGTAGACTTGCTAATTGTACGCATGGAACTCAATAATCTTAAGCCACGATTGTATAGCAATATATTCTTCGAGATCATTTAATTTACGAATTCTCTTTCTTATGATAAGGTTGTTAATTATTACGAAGCTAAAAAGCAAGAAAATAGTTAAGAGATCAATTTTTTCATTCAATCATTCAGTATTTTGACAGTCGATTTTTAATCTGAGATTTCATTCATTTTATTGTTTGTGATAAAATGAATATCTTTAAGATTTTTCTTGAAATCTAGAAGAAATTGGAAATTAAGATGAAAAATTAGAGGAATGTGATAAATGGAGTTGAACTCCATTATTCAACTTGCGAGCATTGGAAATTAATAAAAATTTATTGATAACAAATAAAAAAAAATGAATCTAATTTTAGTGCACGAATATACATTTCCTCGTTTTCAAATTATATGTGAATATATATTATTTTTCGTCAAACATTTATTAGATATCGCGTTACAGGATAAAATTTATGGATTAGATTTTTAATATTAGATCTCTAAAGTTAAATCTATTTTAGATTTAATTAATTTCCAATTATAATTTGTATATATTATTCCATGGTTTTTCATCATTTTCTTCATTCTTGAAAAATCAAAATCTGCATTTCAATCTAATTGTAAGTGCACAGATATGATACAATCTTGTGTTATTGGGTCGACTAAAATTTGGAGTGACTTTGGAACATGTATCTGTTAAACAAATTATTTTATTCCACTTATACTGAAACTGTGCCACGACTAATTGAGAAGTTGACGATGCAGACAATCGAATTTTTCAGCTAACGATTGCTTTGTTGGTCGTTTTCGACTGAATATGACGGAACATTTTGTTATGACGTGGAGATTTTATAATTTTACGAAGAGTTTTCGAACCATAATTGCGGATATTAAAAAGTACCAGCATAAAAATATTTATTTAAAATGTATCGTTATAACAAACAGACTATCCAATGAAACATTGAATAATTTTACAATCAAAGAATTTCTCCTGATTATTAATCGATATTTTCATTTGTTATTGAAGTTAATTTTCCCTTATATATTTTTAAATATAAAAATCAAAAACTTTTCGCCTGGAAAAAATTTATTAATAATAAATTAGACACATACTGAAAAAATATTTGAATAAAAAAAAAATAAATAAGTCTTATTAAATATCATTATATGATTTAAATTGAAAACATCGTAAATTGATATCGAAGACTAATTAATACAAATTTCAATTAATTTCTTTCCTTTTAAAGAGAGAGAAAAAAAGGAAAGAATAAAATTCTGAATATTACGTTTATAAAAGAACTCATCAACGAAATATGAAAGAGTTAATTTTTTACCTTTGAACGCTCGTTCCCCCTTCCAAGTATCCTTAATTCTACCGTTTTTGCAAAACATTTTCAAATTAGAATTTTGCACTCATCGTTAAAATTCATAACGTGTACAGCTCAAGGGTAGAGAAACTGTTCATACTACAAGTGCAACAACTTGTTAATTTTCATTTATCTTTCGACTGCGTTCCCCGTTGCTAATGAATGTTCCATGTCTGAACGGTAAGAATAAATTGGAACCATATGAAATTGGCACGGTCATACATTCCACAAAGGCAAAAGCTCGCGCCTCGGCTATAAACAAATCAATGGCTGACGGTTGTGTTGCATTACACGATGCCGGAATTGCCACCTCGAACGTTTCTGTGTTTACCGGTTACACGCGTCCTAATTATTTACACACCTGTGATTCACCGCGATATATTTTGTAATAAAACGCCAACACATTCTCCAATATATTTTCAGAAATAATGCGAGCATGGAATCTGCTTTGGGGGACCCATTGTATCGTTCGAGAAATCGATATCGATATTCCCCGCGTTTCCTTTTTTTTATTCTCTCTCTCTTTTGCTTCATCCTTCTCTTGTACTTCATTTCGTACGTTACCCGAGGACATGTGCACGGTAAATTTTTTTATGAATTACTCGATTTGCGCTCAAGTGGCTATTGGTATCCGATACGAGCTGCAGAACCCATTAAGACTTGAATCGAGCGTTAAGCACAGTTCATCGATTACGGTTGCTCGAATTGGATCGTAATGGGTTTGTCTTTTCACTTTCGATAAAGTTTTACAGATTTACGACAGAAGATAAATTGTATTCCGCGATTAAAGATTGCTTTATGATAATATTAGTTAATTTAATTTAAAGTATCTTGAATTTTCATCATATTATATGATGAAGGAAATTTAGTATCGAGGAAATGGCAAGGAAAAATTTATCAATTTTTTTTTTTCTGTTTAGTCATTTCTTTTTACATTTGACAATATTTGTTAAGTATACATGTTTGTTGTACATGTTTTTATGGAATCGATACTAATTTTGTTTAATCAACACATAAATTCGTAGAAATTACTTTATGGCCAATCGTTATGTAATTTGGAAATGAATATGGCTGTTGGCTCCAAGAAATTAGCTACGCTTAATTAATTCGAGTACTTCTGGATAAGCTCCAATTTCTTACGAGACAAAAACATCTAGATTTATAATTCGACTTTACAACTGTCTCCTAATTTTCTTTTGTTATCGAGGACAAATCTAAGAGACTTCCAATTTAGAACTACGTAACACGTTTATCAAAATGAAATATTTATCCTGTTATCAAGCAGTTTCGTGTTTTATCATTAGTCAACGTGTCGTGGAAAAAAATATTCTCGTATTAATCGTAATTTCTAAATTTTCAATTTAGAATTCAACAAACAATTCTTATTTTTTTTTTTATCTCCATTCTCTACTGCTAGCAACAAGAAATTATCTGATTGAACTTGAACGATATCTTGCTTAATGGAGTATGGACGGGACAGTGACAGGACTTGTTTTGATGACCGCCTCTCGTCACGCTGGCTGCACTTGAAGCTGCAAACGATGCATCAGCAATGGCCATAATTCATTGGCTCCAGCAGGTGCATCCTCGTTTCCTGGCCTCTTCTCACCACGCATACACGGATCCCGCGACGTGGATCAACGCCGATATTCGCGGCGAGCTGAAAACTAATCGCGATCGAAGGTAACGGATGAGGATCCCTCGATATGCTGAATCATCCGGGATGACGTAGAAAGCTATCGGGCATATTATACATAGACCTCTTTCAACATCGAGGCTGGGATGACCGATGATATCCCTCTGAATTTTGATAACGCTTTGGAGATTTATTTTTCTGCATTCAGTTAAATGGGGGGAGGGAGGATCCATTTTGATTAAGATGAAAATTATAATGAACGAGGATTACATTTGTGTAATTGTAATCGATTTTTTCAACGAGTTCGAATTTATAGTGCCTATTTGGAATAAAAGTGTAGATTAAAGTGTAGAATTAAAGAAATATAATATTTTATTATACAACGATACTCGTACAAATGATATATAAGATCTTTTACGAATTGGTGCCATTAGGTTGAAATTAATAATAAAAGAAATAATTATTCAAGTAATATGACCGGTGATATATAAATCTTTATATTTCATACGCAAATTGAATCCATTGAAGTAACGTGAAAACATTTTATAAAGCTTAAAATGACATTTTAAATCGGTTAAAGTTTGCTCATATAATTATATATTTCATTAGAAAGATTTCAATATGATAAATCAATATAAATTTGTGAATTACTATAAAATTTACTATAAAATTTACACATATTAAATCAACACTAACACTTTCACGATTGATTTTTGAATCGATCAGAATGAAATTATAGGAATATAAAAGAAAATGATAAATAAAAAGCGGGGAAAAAATAATAAATAGAAATTATTTTTTTGTCATATTAACTATAAATTCATATTCTATTCACTGGATTTTTATTTTCAAATTTCTATTTCTGCTTCTCAAACATTTTCCAATCGCTATAACGATTTAACGCCAAGAGGCAAATTAAATTGAGAAGACGAGGGAAGGATTAACGTAAATCGAAAATCGAATATTCCTATGTTAGCCGCATTACAGGGATGAGGATGTGGGTTACAGTATTCAGTTCGTTACATTCGAGCTCTTCCCATCGGCGAAGAACTATCGAACACGAAGGACTATGTATACGAATTCCTCGCTTCTTAGAGATTTACTTTGTCTCTTCCTCTGCTAGTTCCAGGGCCGTTCATCTTGTTCAGTGGTCGTTCTTTCAGCGGAACCACCCCTCGAACCGCCCTTTCCGTCGAGAGCGTTCTTTAAACTTTCCTCTGCCTCTGCTAGCATTCACTTCGCATCGATTTCGACGTTCACGCCTCGATGCGTCTTCCTCGCCCAGGGATGTTACCTATCGTTCTGCCCTCGTATCCAACGTCTACGCGGTCGCGCCTCCAAAATGCCACCGTTCCAGGCTGTATCCCCCTTTCCACGGGAAAACTTGAAAAATGGCTCTGCTTACCGCGAAACTTTTCGACTACCATCGAATATGTTCTCGTATAAAGGTTACGTTCTTCGTGACAGCCAATAAGTGTATACTCCGGAGTGATATGTGACTTGGATTTTGGGACAATTAATTCTGCAATGAATTCAAAATTTAAATCTTTAAATCGTTTTCCAAAAATCGTAGAATTGATATATTTTGGTTGAATCCAATTTAGGATATAATATGGAATAAATATTTCGAAATTATATTTTAAAAGAGAAAACTTTATTTTGGAAAAAATTTGAAGAATTAGTTAGAATTTTATTTTCAAAATTAATATATTTGTTTGTTATTTTAATAATTTACTGATTCTATTCTAATTTCTGTTTTCTCTTTCGCGTAACTAGATTATAAGAGTATTTCGAATTAGTTCCCAAGATTTAACAATTTCGCGAAGAATTGCAAAATTATGAGCACGGTTAAAAGTAAAGCTCGTGCAGTTTCTTCCTTCAACACGCAAGGGAGCCATATCAAAGAAATGTAGGATTCCGGTGAACAGAATAGCACGTCGTATCCTCTATCGCCAATACTTATAACTCCCTATACTTGTAACTGTTAAATCTCTTCCTTCCTAATCTTTTTTCATTCTTCCAAAAATTACTTGAAATAGCGAACAACATAAATCCGCATAAATTCTTCCTCGAACTTTCCATTTTCTTTTTCACCGCATAACGCGATACCCGGGAATGTATCCGAGGTTTGCTTACTTTTTATCGCGGAAACGTTTCATCCAACACTTATTCACAGAGCTTATAACGGTTCTTACGAGTAGCCATTATCACGGTATCCTCTATTGTAAATCGCACGACGCGCGATTTATCGTCCCCGGACAGAACAATCGGTTTTTAACCTAGGGCAACGCAGATATTTCAACGAGATAATTGAAACAATTTATAAGTAGTAGCTGGCTCTCGATTAATTCTCTCGTTTGTCAGGAACGCGGTAATCGTCCTAGAGGGGAAGCGTTTCGTTAAATCGGCAGGACGATCATTTCTCGGCCTGGGTTGGGGCGATAATAAGCCCCTCCATTGTGCCGATCAATCGGCGGAATCGCGTCCTCGTAAATCTCGTGCTCGCGTTATCACGAGTTTCACGAGATGTGGAGGAACGCGTGGGCGTTTACGGCAGGGACGTCGTCATTTTTTTGCTCCACGTGGATTTCTTTATGTGGCAGCATCGTAGCTTCCAGGGGAATTACCGTGAACGGGAATAAAACGTAGGAAACTCGAGGCTTCATTTTTTTCCCCCCTCCCCTTCGTCTTTTTCAGTCTTCTTCCTTTATCCTTTAACAACGTTTCACGTAGGTTTTCTACTTGTAAAGATAAAGTGTTTACGATTGTTTCGCTCTTACTGCGTCTTTCTCTTCTTAGAAAGAAATTCGTTGGTGTAGAGATTTTGATGGCATAAGGGTGATGAATGATCGCGTTGATCTTTGATTGATATTAAGATTAATGGTTCGTTGTTTTGGAAGATATTTTATACGGGGAAGAATATTAATTTTGTACGAATACGTGTAAGATCGATCTTTGTAGCAGAATTTTAAATAAATTTGGAATCATTTTATTAATAACTAAAATTGATTTTTATTAATATTAGAACGTGTATGAAAATTTAATTAATGGTAAAGATTTATATTAATAGCGTTTGTATAAATGTGTTTTGAGGAGACGTGAGTTCAAATAAATAGATTTGAAATCAGTTTTAGTAGATACAATTTACTTCCTTCGACGATTTAACAACAATAAATTTTTATTATCTTTTATCTCGTGCAACACTTACGTTATAATGTATTATATACGTGTTTGAAGTTTGATGATAATGCAAATTGATTGCACAAGTTTTACCGTTATACATTCGGTGTACAAACTATCGTGTACGAAGATTATGTACCTACGCATTCGAGCGCGTTCTATGCTCTCAAAGTTTTATCGAAATCAAGATTCTCCGTGAACTAACTTGAAAGACACTTTTACCTGACTTCGTGCTTTGGAACAGTATCACTCTGAAACGGTATTACGTTATGCATTTTCACGCGAAATTTGTAGCGATCCATTAAATTTATTTTTTAATATTCTTAAAAATTTTCCACATGTTTCTATTTTTTCTTCTCAAATTTTTCGAACGATATGTAAAGTTCACAAACTTCTTCGAATTTTTATAATATATATATTCTTCAAACTTCTTTAAATTCTTTCAATTTTAGAGAAAAGAATTATTATAACTTTTTAGATTGATGCATGTGTATAAAATGTTATATTTATAAAAAATAAATTTCACATTATGCTATATATATATTTTATTCAATGTAATTATATATAACTTTCACAATTTTTTTAAAAACTCTATGAATTAAAAATTATTATATATAGATTGAATAGAACTTGATTTTTCCAATATTTTAAATACATACATACATACATTCTACAATATTAATAAATCTTACCAAATACAAAAGCAGGAAAATTTCATATGCACCAATCTATACGCAATTATT